CACACACACACACACACACACACACACACACACACACACACACACACCTCAAACAACAGAAAGCAGCCAGTCCTACCTTGGCACCCAGCTGTCTTCCTTTGTTAAACACAAAAAGTCCTGAAAGCCATATGGGGGGGGGGGGCTACTTGTTGCTCTTTCTCTGGGATTCCAGTGATATTTTCAATCTCTAGAAGGGCTTCTTTTTACTCTTCTGGAGCATCCCCCTCCGGCCTGCAGCGGAGACTCTGGTTTTAAAATGCTTCCTTCATTTTCAACATCTCTCCCCTTAGAGACCCCAAGCGAATGTGACCCTGGAGCCCACAATGGTGCAAAGACCCTTGCCAGCATCTCACATGCCACACAGGCAGTTAAGTATTCACTTTTCATGGGGTTAGGGAGTCAAGTTCTCCTTCCTCTGAGAGTAGCTCACTACCTGGAGTGGTAGACCACCGCAGCCCCCAGCAGCTCAGAAAAAAAAATACTAAAAACTTTCTCCACGTCCTCAGCCCCTATCTGCCCTGCTTTCCACACACGCCAGCCTCCCCTTCTCCTAGCAGCCTTGCTGGAGGCAGACCCAGGACAGGCTCGCTCTGAGCCCAAGGGTCTCCATCTCCTTTCTGGAGCCTGGGAGCACGGAGCCCGCAGAAGCCCCCTGCATCGCTGCTTCTCTCTCGTAGGCGGAGCGCGGCGTCCTCACCCAGGCGGCAGCCGCGGCCGCGATTGGAATTCTGTCCCCAAAAGGGGGCCGGAAAAGGAGGAGAGAAAGGAAGGATGGAGGCTGGCAGGGAAAAGCAGCGGCCAGGGTCCCAGACATCCCCGGGAAGAAGCTAAGCGCGTTGGCTGCTAGTGTGCTGCACCGCGGAGGAGCCCCACCGCACTGCATCAGCGTGGCTGTGCTGACACCCCCCCCCCCCCAAGCTTAACACGGGGCATTATGCGCTGGTTAACAGGCTACGAGCTGCTCAGCGACTTGTTTTAAGCATTTTCTCCCTCGCTCTCGCTTTTAATCTTGTCTCTAGTGGCGTGTGTAGGGGGGAGGACTTTATTTCCATTGGCTAAGCGCTCCCTTCCCACCCACATCCCTTCCACATCACCTTGGTGTCTCCCTAAATAAAACCAGCCCTCCTTATCGCCTGGAAAAAATCAGGAGCTAGAGTTTGAATGGGTTTTATATAAACACTCACCCCTGTCAGCGTGCGGCCAAGCTCTCAGGATAAACTCCCAGTGTCTGGCCTGATGCTTGCCTGGCGATCTCTGCCTTGAACGCTAAGGTTTAAGCAGAATCCAGAGGACTGGGAACTCTTCCCTGAGATTTGATCAACCTGAAGCCAGTTGCGGAACTGCACAGGGTCCCGATGGACCTCAAGGAGAGCCCCAGCGAGGGCAGCCTGCAACCTTCCAGCATCCAGATCTTCGCAAACACCTCCACTCTCCATGGCATCCGCCACATCTTCGTGTACGGGCCGCTGACCATCCGGCGTGTGCTCTGGGCAGTGGCCTTCGTGGGATCCCTGGGCCTGCTGCTGGTGGAGAGTTCCGAGAGAGTGTCTTACTATTTCTCCTACCAGCATGTTACCAAGGTGGACGAAGTGGTGGCCCAGAGCCTGGTCTTCCCAGCTGTGACCCTCTGCAACCTCAATGGCTTCCGGTTCTCCAGGCTCACCACCAATGACCTGTACCACGCTGGGGAGTTGCTGGCCCTGCTGGATGTCAACCTGCAGATCCCTGACCCGCATCTGGCGGAGCCCACCGTGCTGGAGGCCCTACGACAGAAGGCCAACTTTAAACACTACAAACCGAAGCAGTTCAGCATGCTGGAGTTCCTGCACCGGGTAGGCCATGACCTGAAGGACATGATGCTCTATTGCAAGTTCAAGGGGCAGGAGTGCGGACACCAAGACTTCACCACAGTGAGTACCTGGCTTTCAGTTCCCTCCTGAGCTTACTCTTCAGTAGAAGTGGTGCGCCGGTGGCCTTCTGTCTGTCTCAGGCCCTCTGCTGTGCAGGAAAGGGGGCAGAGACCCAGCTGAAGGCCAGGAGGGTAGCTGGTAAGAGTTGTTGGACCTGTTTGTAGAAAAGGTTACCTGTCAGATGGAGTACTGTGGTCCTTTCAGATTGAAGGGCTACAGGGAGCCTGCTGTTGAGGGATCACTCCCCCAGGTGTGCTGAGTTGGGCTTTCTCAGAGGGAAGAGGCCCTGGTTGCCCATTGTCCAGGGTGCTTGATGTCTGAGCCGTGTGACAGGAATAGCTTGTCATTTGGTGAGATGGCATCCTCTCTTCTCTCTTTCTCCCTTCTCTCTCCTCTCTCTGTGCTCGGAAGTGGCATCAGGCTCTGCATCCTGTGGGCTGGGCTGGAGCTAAAGCTGTCACAGGAGGGGGTGTGGGCCCCCAGACAGCCTGAATGGCTCCCGTGGCGGTGGGAGCTCAGTGAGCAGGTGATGCTGCAGAGGTGTGGAAGGCTCTTTCCTTCCTTTTCTTGCCTGAATTGTGTGGAGAAGCGAGAACCCCCAGAAGCTCCATCTGGTCTTCCTGCAGGCGTGGTGAAGCCACGAACTGTTCATGGTGCTTTGGCAGGGAGGACAGTCAGGGTAGAGGCTCCAGTATAGGACGGGTAGAGAGATGACAGCTGTAGTGAGGTGGTCCCGGAGGCTGGCTGCTTGTCTGAGAGCCTGAGCTTGAAACTCGAAGGCTCGTTTTCTCTGTGTACAATCGCTTCACAACGTGGGTGCAGGAGGAGGGAGTGGGGAGGGGGCTGAGCAGCTGTGGGATTGGAAAGCCTGAAGCGGGGTGTGGAGTTGAGTAAAGAGGAGGGAATGGCGCACGCACGTTCGTTCTTTCGGGATGGGTTTGCCAGAGGGGGGATGAGAAGGAAGGATGGGAGCATAGCTGTTGCCACTGGGGTTCTCAGCTCAATTAGTGAACTGCTACAAGTCTGGGGTATCAGAGGCTGTGGGGTCCTTCTGCAGTCCAGTGTGTCTTCCTGGGGTAGGGGGAGGAGAGCTTCAGGGACTTTGACTCTTAAGCCAAAAACGCAGTGACAAGTTGGGGATGGCAGGTGCAGCAGTCATCAAGGGAACTGGACTGTGTCGTCAGCACTTGTCTGGGGTGCTCTGCCTCATTAAGACATCCCCTCCCTTTCCCCATAGTGCAGCCCTTTCCACCCCCTCTCAGAGCCACCTGCCTCTCACTCTGAGGTTCTCTTTATGCACCAGCCAGTCTCTGCCTTCAGCCTTTGCACTTGGCTGTCTCTCATTCTGAAAGCGCCCAGAGTGCCAGGGGCATTGCCTCTCGCAGCCTGTGTGCTAGAGCTGTTTCCTGGGGGAGCTGTTTTATATTATTATCCCCTTTAAACACTCTGAGGAGGAGCACAGCCAAACCTACAGCAGCATTTGCTAAAGATAAAGCCAGTCTGAACTGGAGGAGGAAGCAACCAGCCCTTCTTAAAGGAGCAAACAGGAACCTAAAATATGTCATGCACAAATGATGTCTGAGGGGCCTCGGGGAGGGATGAGAAAAATGCCTCGTTCTTGGAGGCTGAAACCATTGCTGTGTTCCAGCCCATGCTTTCTAGTGCCTGGCAACACTCAGCCTCATCGTTGTACTTTGAGGCTTGAAAGTGCACTTGGCTCTCCCTCTGTCTGCCTGCACACACTTGAGACTCACAGACAACAGATGCAGGGTGTCTCAGACAGGCTGTCCTGGGCAGCAGACCCTAGGCTGAGTCTATACTCATCCTCACAAGCATCCTCGTGACGGCATGGCTGACCGGCAGGGTAGCTCTGCTCATGCCCAAGTTCTGTTTAGAAGTAGAGGTGTGTTGATCTCAGGCTGCTTGCTTGTGTTTGGTCCGTCATTTGAATCGCTGGTACCCCAGGCAGCCAAAAGTCAGGTTTTAAATCCTAACCCTAGCTTCTGACCATCTGATTGCCCGTGGATAAGGTCTGTGCTTTAATTCGTGGCACAAGCATCTGTCACCTCTTAGACTCATCTGTTTGAGTACCCATCCTTTAACTGACCCCTCTGAGTGTAACATCTCCAAGCACCAAGGAGAGGATGTCCCTTGGTGTTCTCTTCCGTCTGCTCAGGGATGTCAGGATGACACCCACTCCAGGTGTGTGATAGGAACCTAGTGAGCACCCATGCTGAGCCTCTGCTGGGGGGTAATATGATAGGAGACATGTCTAAGAGTGTACACTGAGGAGCGAACCTCTGACACACCTTTGTGCTCTTGGGGCCTTGGGTGTGCGCAGGCTTTTCTTGGCCTCCCACATCAACAATGACACTGTGCTGCTCCTGGAGAAGCCCGTTGGCCAGCCTCTTCTCTCATTCACTGTCCAGTGGACTTTTTTTTTTTTTTTACAAACTCTGCTGGGGGTTGTGACACACATGGTACCTTCTTTCTGTAAGCAACCATGGCTGACTTACTAGAGAATTTAAGTGTGGGGGAGGGGATGTCACAGGTGGATGCCTCTCTTTTGCTGGATTTGATTTTCCTATAGAGCCCAGAGCATCCTCTCCAGGGCGAATGCTGTAGCACACGCTTCCTTATTCCAAGTCCTTAGCCTGTGTGCAATGAAGTGTGTAATACCCTTTAATTAGTGAATGAGCCGTGATTCCAGAAGAGTGAACGAAGGTTGTTCGTGGAGACCTAAAGTCCCCAGGAAGCCAGGTGTGGAATGCTGAGTGAGTGCCGAGGAAGCAGGCATGCTCCCTGCCCATGCAAATACTCTGAGGCTTCGCCTGGGAAGAATCTGGCTTCAGAGAGGTCTGCGGTTTGCCTTCCTTGAAAAACCATAAGCAAGACTTGATTCTAGGCCTTCTTCCCACAAGAGGTGACCCCCAGTGACCCAGGGTAGAAAGGGGATGAGGTGGGAGCTGATGAGGGTTGTGACTCTTATCTGAGACCGTGGCCAACATGACAAGCATGAAATCCATGAAGTCCAGCATCATCCTTGTTTCTTTGTTTCCTTGCCTGCTCTCCAGATGGGCACTTGAACATCCAACCTTGACCTTCTAACGCAGAGTACTGTTGGAGGAAGAAGCAGGTTCGACTCTATGTGAGGACATCTTCTGTTTTTTTGCCAGCTGGGTAGCTGTGAGGTGGGGTTCTGAGCAGCATTTGTAAGAGGGGTGCTGTTGTCCCGCCTGCCTCCACTGTTTTCAGGGGTCACATGAATGAGGAATAAGGGCAAAGATAAGGGCAGGAAGGTGTGGGGGGGGTAC